GAGATTGTGGATTTGGGGTTTTCATGAGCTGTAAGCCATAATCATCACAATTATGACAAATCACGGCTTGAACTATCTTGCTTTGCATGTAATGAGTCTATCTCATATATTAGTGTCACCTTTTAAGTTGCATTACTGAAATAAATGAACTTTTGCAGGATATTCAAATTTTTCGAGTTTCACCTGTATATCCTTCAACAAGCATTAAAAAATGCTCCATGGGAGATAACTAGTGCCCACAGCGACTCTCGCATTATTCCAAATTTTGCAGGAACATCTTGTCTTCCCTTGCAGCCCCCCTTTCCTCCTTGGAGTCCCATTTCTCAGAAGAGGAGCCAAAGTCCTAAAGAATTTATATTTTAGCCATGTCCTTTCATACTAAAAGAAGGGTTCCCCTTTAAACTATTCCTCCACTTTGAAATCCATCTGGTTCCTCCTATCTCACTATATATATTTTAAGTCCGAGCATAAAAGCACAAAGCCACTCCCTTGATGAAGAGACTGACCATCCCTCAAAGAACCTTACATACTGAGCATTGGGACTTTGTTGTTGTTTTTACAAAGTCATAGATCATTAAAAGAGAAGTATGTTGTTTTGAAATACTAAACACACATACTCAGCTAGGTGGACGCAGCATCAGTGTGATGGTTCACCTGTCTCCTGCCACTTCAAAGACCACTGATTGCTCAGTTCTTAGTTTTCAGTGAGCAGCAAGCCGGTGATTGTCTGTCACTTGCCCTGTGCTCTGCCCCTATGAACTTATGTACAAATGTGGGTACTGCTCAGGCTCTTAGAGGATCCCAATCAATTGCCAACTTCTCGGAGTGCTGGCCGTGAACAAAGCTCATCTAAGCTCCAAACATCAGCATGTAGTGAAGGAGAGGTCCCTCAAGCTGCACATGCTGATGTTTGGAACTTAGATGGAGCGCTGGGCTGTGGAGGAGTAAGGGGCTGCTGGCTCAGGCTTTCAGAGGCTGAACTAGCTGCCCCTCAGTCATCTGGGTGGATCCTGACATTAAAGTTGAGTGACGACAGCCAGAAGTAGACTTTTTATCCCGCTCTCGGCTGAATAAATGTCACAGAACTGTTATAACCCACAGGAGAAGTAGGGCCAAAAGAGCTTTGATCCTACTTCTCTTTAATTCTGATTAAAGCAAAGGATAGAAGAAGAGAGTGACCATAGTAGTTGTGAGGGAACAGGATCCAGGGGGCAGGTGGTGAGATGGACTTCTGAGAAAACTTTTGTGACCCCTTCAGTAGTAGCAAGGTCAAAAGAGGAAAGTGTTGAGGGAGGTTCAGTATAGGGTATGCTAAGTGGAATAGATGTCTGTGCAGTAGAGATGCCCCTATGAATTGCATCAATCTTGTTTTTGAAATGATTGGCAATCTCGTAAGCAGTGAGTGAGTTACTGGGTGGAGGTGGCGGTGGAGAAAGTAGAGAGTTAAAAGTATAGAAGAGACAATAAGGAGTGGATGACAAGGTAAGGTATTCATAAGAGTGACAAAGTAGGCTTGTTTGGCAGCATGGAGGGAGGAATTGTGAATATTTGCTGGGATTTGGTTTTATGCCACAATTACTCCAGTGCATGGCTATGTGTCCTAAGATTTCTTGTGTAATTCCATATCACCCAAGGATGACTAGTACTACAATGGACAGCAGTGTACCCTTGACTGCTGAGTCATTATTGTGAACATCTAGTTTAGCTACTCTACATCATGGTCCCTGGAAAGTATTTCAAATGTTAGCAACTTGGCTTTACCATCTAGTGTGATCTGTTCTTTAATCTCTCACAGTGAATTTTAAAGCCAAAAAGTAAAGTGGAATGTGACCAAAGACATGTAAACTGTTATAGAAGAAATAAAACCCTTTGTGAGAGGAGAAGCCAACTGTATCCTGCAGATAATCACTTTTCCCTGAATGTACAACACAGGGAACTATCAGCTCCATTATCATTACCATTCCTGGCAGTTAATGTCTGTCCACAAAGTCAATTCCTTTTAATCTGCTCGGGGTTTGTAAAAGCAACAGAACTTGGTGCAATACTAACTTCTAATAACAGCACTACTCAATGCTAGAACAAGTCATCTGAGGATATGTTAACTGAGATAGCTGGGACGTTAAAAGCTACAATTAGCATTCCTCTCTAATGAAATGTATTACAGGACATCAAAGATCGCTGTAAATGGAGAAGGAGCTCAGAGTGGAATGGGGATTAATGAATATTCTCATTGTTCTGTTTGCTGAGCCGTACAGTACTTTCCTCTGCCAGAAAAATGTAATACAGACCAAAGACAACTTTGTTCTTAAAGCACACCTGTCATGTGATGAATAATGGCTGTAATTTCTCCTTCTGAAAGTGCTTGTTGCCTTCATATTGTGCTGATGCTTCAGTTTCAATGCTTCCCAAACCACTGACCCGGAACAAGTATAGACATAGGGAATTCTGACACCTTTCTGACACTCATAAGCTTCTTCTGGGTTCCTGTACCTTTAAGGAAGGATGGGCTCCTCCAGGCACACCTGCCCTTAACCAATCCATTGATATATGTGTTCCTACTATGGAGGCTCTGGAAATTTTAGAGTTAGGTCCACAGTATACAGAGGGCCCTTGATGCAGGACAGTGGCGTACGCATGTAATTGCAAATGTGTGCAAACAAAACCCTGTTTTTAACGCAAACTGTTAGACAGGTCCAAATTGGTTGTTTTGCAGGCTGGCTGGTAAGTGTTGCTGGGAAATCTTTTGTTTGTTTGCGATGTTCTGGGTTCATGATCAAAAGTATTGATGGCTAGACAACTAGCAGTACATGAGGTACGTTGGATAGTGTGTTCCTCACTGCTATGGTTCTTTGAGTCTGCTGCTATGTCACTACTGTGACCTAGGAGCCAGAATAATATTAGGAGTTAGATTTAAGGACAAGCTCACTTTCATATGGACAATCTAATCAGGTCTGCCTGTCAGTTTTTCAGGCAGACCTAATCAGAGGGTCCATGCATTCCAGAAGACTAGTGGGTGTAAATGGACTTGTGTTTGTTTACACTAGCCAACCTCTGAGTCCAATCAGGCACACTATATTCTCTTCCGTTTTGGATGGACCGGATCTGATGCATTCAGGTGTAAACATACAACAGAGTCTGTTTACTCCCGGCTGCCCATAGAGCAGAGAGGGGTTTGTCCGTGTCTGCTCTGCATAAACTGAGTGAACACAGACCTGTCATCCGCCCCAATCAGCTCACAGCTCCCCTGCTGATTGGAATGGAAGGGCCCATGTGAAAGGGACCTAAGGATTGATTATGTTTGATTAAGGGTTAGTCACGGAATTCAGGTAAGGGAACAATTTTATAAGCGAACATCAGGGTCTCAAGCAAGAATTGCTCTACCGTTATTTTTAATTTTATTTAGAGAGTGACCATACATTTTTTTAGTCTGTTCAGTTCATTTCATATAGCTTTCCTTGGCCTTGTATTTTATTGACTCCTGCCATAAAAGGCCCTATTGTTACAACCTTTGTGTGTTTTGTGCCAGGACCTGGATCTGAACCTGGGAACTCGTGTTGTGTCTGGTGATGTCTCTTCTTGCTGAGCCACCTGGAATGCTGCACAGACCCCTGGACAATTCCTTGAATGATCCTGCCTTGAACTTTGTCAGAACATTGAACCCTTCGCTCCTCCCATTCCTATTAAATCCATGCCATTGCACTTCCTGTTTGCCAGATTATTGTGCTCCCTCAGTCAATATCTCACTCTTGTCAGTCCTGCTACCATCTGTATCTTAACTATCATTAATTACAGACCGTTGGCTTGTCCTTCAGCTGTGTTTTTGTTTGAACCCAACCTACAACCGCTTGTTACCAACCTTTGGCTTGTTTACTGACAACGCTTCTGCTTATCCCTACCTGCTGTATCTGCTACTGGTCCCCAGCTTGCTCACCTCCTGGTGGGCTGAGGACTTCGACCTAGTACTAACATACAGCAAAACCCATCTCCACCAGGAGCTCTGGTGAATACTGGTTAGTACTTAAACTCTGCACCTCAGGTAAGCCTGTGTCATCTGCCAGAGTGACCTGCATCTGTACTTATCCAGCTGGTCAGTGGGTGCCATGTTACTGCTATAGCCACTGGTCTCCAAGCCTGACTTCAGATCATGACAGTCTGTTTTCTAGTGTTCAGCTATGCTGGATTTGGATTTTTTTTTCCAGTCGTATTGTTTCTCCCAAGATAATGCCAACATTCTGGTTTGCTTGCCCTGTACTCTATTAACATCCCATTTGTCCACTGAAAACCTGCGAAATACCCAAAATATGGGTAGCAACAGTAGTGACTTGGCTGAATGAAATCACTGAACAATGCGAAGGACTAGGACAGGGACACTCCAAGAAGTTTAGCTTTTTGAAGAGCTTATTGTGAATGGAAAAGCATTTGGAGGCATGGGCAGCATAAGAGGTAGATACACTATATTGCCAAAAGTATTGGGACGCCTGCCTTTACACGCACATGAACTTTAATGGCATCCCAGTCTTAGTCTGTATGGTTCAATATTGAGTTGGCCCACCTTTTGCAGCTATAACAGCTTCAACTGTTCTGGGAAGGCTGTCCACTAGGTTTAGGAGGGTGTCTATGGGAATGTTTGACCATTCTTCCAGAAGCGCATTTGTGAGGTCAGGCACTGATGTTGGATGAGAAGGCCTGCCTTGCAGTCTCCGCTCTAATTCATCCCAAAGGTGTTCTATCGGGTTGAGGTCAGGACTCTGTGCAGGCCAGTCAAGTTCCTCCACCTCAAACTCGCTCATCTATGTCTTTATGGACCTTGCTTTGTGCACTGGTGCGCAGTCATATTGGAACAGGAAAGGGTCATCCCCAAACTGTTCCCACAAAGCTGGGAGCATGAACTTTTCCAAAATGTCTTGAAAAGCTGACGGCTTAAGAGTTCCCTTCACTGGAATTAAGGGGCCAAGCCCAACCCCTGAAAAACAACCCCACACCATAATCCCCCCTCCACCAAACTTTACACTTGGCACAATGCAGTCAGGCAAGTACCGTCCTCCTGGCAGCTGCCAAACCCAGACATGTCCATTGGACTGCCAGACAGAGAAGCATGATTGGTCACTCCAGAGAACACGTCTCCATTGCTCTAGAGTCCAGTGCCGGCATGCTTTACAACACTGCTACCAACACTTTGCATTGCACTTGGTGATGTAAGGCTTGGATGCAGCTGCTCGGCCATGGAAACCCATCCCATGAAGCTCTCTACTCACTGTTGTTGTGATAATCTGAAGGCCACACGAAGTTTGGAGGTCTTTAGCAATTGACTCTGCAGACAGTTGGCAACTTCTGCGCACTGTATGCTTCAGCATGCGCTGACCCTGCTCTTTCATTTTATGTGGCCTACCACTTTGTGGATGAATTGCTGTTGTTCCCAGTTGCTTTCACATTGTTATAATACCCCTAACAGTTGACCGTGGAATATTTAGTAGCAAGGAAATTCACAAAAAGACTTATTGCACAGGTGGCAACCTATCACGGTACCACACTTGAATTCACTGAGCTCCTGAGAGCGACCCATTCTTTCACAAATGTTTGTAGAAGCAGTCTACACGCCTAGGTGCTTGATTTTATACACCTGTGGTCATGGACGTGATTGGAACACCTGAATCCAATTATTTGGAGGGGTGTCCCAATACTTTTGGCAATATAGTGTATTTTCTTTCTTCTTTACAGGAACTGCTTTTACTTGGCTTTGTCATGGTATAATGAACATCTAGTAGTGTTAATACTGTACTGTACCTAAGCAGTACCCTAAAAAAAGTATTTTTTGTCTGGAATTCCTCCTGAAAAAAGCAGAATAGTTCTTTTTTTCCATACAGAGGACATTTTTGGCCAAAAGGTTATCGTGGAGCATTGCGTACTGTGCGTCCACCTGTAGGGCCTAAAGTGACAAACTCATTACCAGACGATGAAAATATGGGACCTCCCCTGAAGGGGTTCTACAAGTTAGTAATAGGGAAGAGATCAACTGCCGGTAGACCACAGGCAATACTGGTGAATAGTCCAGTGCCCTCTGCCTTCCATTTTTTGGCACAGTTTCTAGAGTTCAGTTTCTCTTTAAAATTTTCCGACTAGGTGCTTCAGTCTTAATTCCTGCTCCTTAGCCCTAACCCATCTCTTAACCTCTAACACTAATTGAATTCCAGCAGATCCATCTTTTTGTTCTTGAGTGCCAAAAGTATCTAAACGTCCTTTGACAAGATTGGCTGCTAGTATGTGTACACTTGATTCCATTAATATTTTATATGATCATGAATCTAAATTCCAAGGTCTACATTCCCTTCTGTCTGAAGTCCTGGGAAATTCTCCCTACCTCTTTATTCCACACAAACCACTCCTATGCTAATAATTAAACAGGTGACAAAATTCCATCAGGAGCCAGCGCTCGTTAAACATTCACGGAACGCATGTTTTTCTAAGGCCTAAGTGATTTTCTCAGCTTGGTTACTTTATAATCATTCAGAACCAGGGACACAATAAACCTTCAAAGGCTGCAGACCAAAGACTAACAGAACCAGATGTATTTCCGTCTGCCTTTTACCACTTGTTCTTACAGGTCTGTCATTTTATAAAAAAGAAAATGTTTGTTGTTGAAATTGTGCTTAAATGTGTTTAAGGCGGGTACTTGTGGAGTATAAACACCTCCAAGACGTAAATCTCCGCCGCTTTGGAGTAATTAGAGGACAAGAAGAAAATGGGTTAAAAGGAAAGCGAAATATTCCAGGCCATGTATTTTAGGTGTACAGGAAAGGCGCTTTTTACAGTAATGTCCCAAAGTCTGAGCATATGCTATATAGATATATTGATCAGTTGCTAAGTTTATAATTAGGGAAGTATTTATGAAGCAGCACATCAAATTTTCACCATTGAGCACTGGTCATTGTGAGGTCATTGTGAGGTTTGCAGCATTTGTAAAAGACATTCGCTACCCACCTTCACCTATGAGCTTGTCAGATTGAGTCTCTTTCACTGCTCTTCCACAATCATCTACATTTTTCATTCAGTGAAAAATTCAGCATCTTGTTTTATTGGCTCTCACCCGGCTTAGGGCACATGCACACTGGGTGTTTAGCTCCTGTGCGTCCAATCCCAGCATTTTTGGCACGCGTGCAGCATCCAGCCCCACTGCCAGTAGTTTGTCAAAATCTATGACAGGCTGAAATACGCTGCGGCTGGATGCTATACCAAGGGGTACCCACATTTAGGGTACCAGACCTTCAGAAGAAAATGTCTAGAATGCAGTCATTCTGCATTCCAGGTGTACATCCCTGTGCATGTGGCCTTAGAGTATTGTGACTGTTTAAAAAAACATATATTTCTACCGATGACAGGAAAATATGTGGTTAAAAAACTGTATGTTCACCCTAACAATGGGCTTTGGCCTCTTATGAGACACTCTGAGGTAGGGGTTGCAATGGTTGTGTGCATTAGGCACATGAAAACTGTATACGACATCCATTTTGTTCATGTCTCCACCATTTTTGTCATGAGAAGAGACAAAGCACATTGACCTTGCCCCCTCCCTCCTCCTTCAATTCATGGAATCCATAGCCTTAACTTTTAACACATTTCAAAGAGCCTCTTATCTTAACTTAGGGACAGCAGACACCAGCACACAGGCCTTTGTCAGAACTGTAAACAGCTAATTGACGTTCTGGCAGGTGTATGTTAATTTCTGCTGACCATAAAAAATCTACAGATTAACAATTTCCTCTGACCTATCATAAAACTATGACAAAATCTTTCAGTTCTGTCACCAATGGTTTGTAGGGCAATTAAAGCACTAGGGACACATAGTGTGCCATAAAATTGGGATTGTACTGCAGTCAGGCTTATTGTGACTTTTCAGAGACCCCCCTGCCCAACTCATAATTTCAAAAACTACACAACATTCATAAAATCAGACATGACCAAGACACATCCATATTAAATATATAAATGGGGAATATCATACTGAACAAATTGAGATCATACATGGCTATGGTATACAGAAGGTTAGATAGCAGTCAAATACCTCCTGGGTGACAGGCCCATCCAATATACTGTGTTTGGTAACCCTGTACATGAAATACAATGTTGAACAATAATCCAGCAGTTTCCAGAATGCAACCTGTACATATTGGAAGATATTAATATTAGTATAAAACAGTGTGTAAGGTAGGGAAACTCTTCCAACCACTTAATTGGTCAGATGGTCTCTGACAACACCACCTTGATATCAATGAAAAAGACACTGCTCCAAACGTTGACAGCTCTCGTTTTAACATCAAACCAGGGAACACCTAACTGGACTTGAGAGAGCCACTGTACTGTTTTTGATTATTCATTGGACTCTGCAACCCAGGACATTAAGTATTCTTAATTTTCATCGCCTTTTTGTTTCTTTGTTACATTATTGTCTCTTTGTTTCTGTGAAACACCCTTTCTCTGTAAATTTTTCTTTGCATCCCTCAAAAACCACTTCCCAGGGTGTCATGGAAATGCTGGTCTGGGCTCACAAGAGAATGCTGCATAGAATAGCACACTATGGGGTAGATTTACTAAAACTGGTGCAGCTGTGCATGTTAGCCAATCAGCTTCAACTTTCAGCTTGTTCAGTTAAGCTTTGACAATAAAACCTGGAATCTGATTGGTCTGCAGAGCTGCACCAGATTTTTCACCATGCGATTTTTGTAAATAGCCTCCTATGTGTTGGATGTGTTCTGCAGCATAGAGAACTGCCTACCACTGCCTACCACTGACATAGAAGGGAGCGTCCTGTGACCAACCAGATGACAGTGAGCAAAAGGTAAATATCCCAAAAAATAGAAAAAGTTACATCTTCCCCAACACATAGCTCTTCACATTCTTGGCATGTGCTATGCAGTGTACATAAAAAATTGCTAGAAGCAATTTTTTTTTGGTAAAAGAGACTTGCATGTCTTTTCTGCAACAAAAACTCTTACTCCTAAAAATTCTTTATTGCTATTTATTTCTGCTTTAAAGTGTTACTAAACCCACAACAGTAAAATCAGTCTGTATATGCAGTAAAGCATGCTTGTTATACTCACTGTGGAACCTAAGGGGTTAATCCTCTGCATTGTATAAAAAGGCCGTTTGATCCTGTCTTCTCTGCTCCTCCTCTTGCTCAAATGTCCACGTCTTCTCTCACGATAAGAAAGCCATTCGCACATGTTCAGTTTAGTGTGTATTGCTAGAGAGGTTTTTTTTTTACCTTGCGAGAGGCCATGTGATCAGCACATGGCCAATCAGTACTGTCCAGACAGAGGTCAGGGGTTTTGCATCCTCCTAGAGCAGAAAGAAATCTCCTACAAGATTTAACATGTGGTCTGCTGAACACTGATAGAAGTCACAAGACTGCTCTAACTGCTGATGAGAAAAGGTATTTAGCCGTTTATATTTACTAAAATAATTGCATTTCCATGTTGTGTGTACTGTGGGAGACCAGATATAGTGAATGCGGGGTCCTGGGTTTAGTAACACTTTAAAGTATCATTAAACCTGAAACATGTTTTGAAATACCTTTATATTGCATTGTATACATAATCCCTTATTCCTTATCACGTTCATTTTATATACAGTAGATTATGAAAAACCTGGTTGCTTTTGCTGTCCACTGCTGCTTCCTTCATGCCTGTGTCCCCCACTGCAGCATCTGCTCCTATGGCTCCCCTGTTGCCCCATGTGCTGCACACGCTCCATTTACTTCCTCCTTTGTCCCAGTCTAGCCCATTAGGCCATCATTCTGGGTGTATACACATTGATCTGTGACAAGCCCCTCCTTCTCTCCTCCTCCACTGAACATGTTTTTAGTTCCTAGTGGGCAGATCTAACAGGGATCATTGATGGAGGCTTCACCTTGTTAGTACTCCCTAAATTCACACAATATACACAGTCTGGAGGGGTGCGTCCACTAATCGAAAATTCTGCCTCCACCATGTAATCAATAAAAATAAAACACAGATGTTTTTAACCCCTTGTTGTCAATTGTACACCTACTGTATATGCGGCTTCTCTGAAGTGGGTCTTCTTCCATGGGGCTGCATATATGTGTACATATGTTTGTGCTGAGAGTGTGCTGCAGAGACAGGGCTCTGACTGAGAGCCCTGCGTCTCATACTAAACGATCGGGAACCAGGCGGTCTGCTTCCCGATCACCTGATTGCTCTGATTGGCTATCACCGTGTTCAGTCATACTGGGTTCAGACATAAGTATTGTGACTTCTGTCATTTTCAAAAATGATTTAGTGCGCAGCTGCGGTGCGATTCACCTGCAGTTCAGCCTAAACACCATTGTGCTTTTTGTGATTTCTATACAGCTGCGATTTTTGGATCTCGATCCCTCTCTCCCCTCTGAAACACAGGCTAAATCTGTTGAAAGCGCATTGGAATCGCATTGTATTGGAACAGATAACCATTTCACATATGCTTTCAATTCAAATCCCAACCACAGTGCCACCTGCCTGGAGTTTGCATGTTCTCCCTGTGCCTGCATGGGTTTCCTCTGGGTACTCCAGTTTCCTCCCACACTTCAAAGACATGCTGGTAGCTTAATTGGCTCCTGTC